GCACATGCCCCCTTTAGCAAAAACCCCTCCAAAAAAAAAAAAAAAAAGAAAGCGACAAATCACCCCTCAGGGAGGATGGTCACATCTCAATATCTTCTCCTCCATTCTCCTCTTGGGATCTTGGGCATGCACGCACACACACCTGGCGTGAGTTTTAAGCCACCGAGTCCAGGATTCGAACCACAGTCGACTACATGGGAGTCCAGCAACATAGCCATTATGCCAACTGCTAGTCCAGATAAAATGTCATTTTAAAAAGTCTGAGTTATCTAATATGATTTGGACATTTATTATTATATCATGTCTATATTTTACAGATAGTGAAGCTAGTTCTCTAATGGATATAGAAAATGTAATTCTGATTAAAATCCATGAAGATGAGGAAGATGAATCAGATGCAATATTAAAATCTGACAAGTTTCATCAGGACTTATTTTTTATGGAACGTGTTCTAATGGAAAATATATTTCAGCCAAAACTTGCAGCTTATCGTCAGCTTCCTGTTTTAAAAGGTATTTTAAAAAATAATCATGTTTCGACAAACTCAGATAATTTTAACAATTACTATGGTATCATCACACATTTCTAAATGTAATCTCCAGACTAGGATATCACTTATTTGAGGTTATTTTTCTATAGATTTCAGCACTAACCATGGGAGTACTGGTAGAATCCAGATTAGAGAACCTGCAAAAGAAGGTTTTCTCTGGACTCGAAACTTCATAAGCATCTATGGCTTCTTTTTTTCTTTTGTTTCTGTATTCAGTTAGTTATTTATTTTCACAGTATGTCTCATATGCAACTCCTGTTTTTTTCTATTGCCATTGACATTTTCCAGATTCTGGTTTTTATTACCAACCTCTAATTTTATTGTCTGGTCATTCTCCCTGTTCTCATTGCTACAAATTCCATCTCATATGTTAACAGAATATTTCAAGGGATCTTGAAGATTTTCTAATGCAGTGTTTCAACATCTGAATAAAGAAAATTAAGGCTATAGAAACTTCATAAGGTTACATAGTCTGTGGCAAAGTGAGGCATTCAACTAGGAACTTTTCATTATGGACTACACCATTCCTCCTTGCTGATGTATGCTAAATACAGCAGCCCTTAATTACTGAAAAAGCCACCACCTTCCTACTGCTTAAAATAAGTGACAAATCTCAGAGTGTTTTATTAAAAAAAATCCCTGCGTATTATTTTTGTAACACTGCTTTACTTTGGAAACCCTAAAGGTCGGTCACATAAGACTTAATCTGGTGATCCATCCCCAAATAGAACCTAAATTTTCTTTCCTTAGTACCTTTAATTGGAATTTGACAGACAGTCCACTCTTGTCTTCCCTCCGTCTTTGCCTATTGTATTCCCAGCTTTCAAATCTAGATCAGGCAAACTCTGTGATCTCTTTCTTGACCTTTCAAGTCAAAAATTTATCTTTTATTTAGTTACATTTAAAAAATGAGGTTGTGGGACCAGCAGGTGGCATAGTGGTTAAGGCACTGGATTCCCATTATAGTTGACCCAGTTCAAATCCCAGACTCGATGGCTTGAAATTCATGCTGGCATGTGTGTATGTGTGCCCAAAGTCCCAAGAGGAGAATGTAGGAGAAAGGATTGCAGCATGGCCATCCTTCCAGGAGGTGATTTTTCAGTTTCTGTCTCCCTGTCTCTCCAGTGAGCCATACACACCCTATAACAAAAATCTCTCAAAGGAAAAGATTAGGTTACAAAATAGTATAATATGTGTGCCCTTGTACATCTTGAAGAATGTTGAAAAACTGGTTCTTCTCTCATACTAGGTTGATAGTTTAAAATTTTCTTTGTATATAAAAATTTTTATCCTATATTTAAAGGGTTGTGAAGTTGTAATTTACAGAATGCTATAAATATTGACTCCTTGTGTGTGTGTCTGTGCCACTGAGCACGTGTGCTTGCTGGAAAAATACAGAGCGTGAGAAACTAAAAATCAGTCCCTCAGGGAGGATGGCCACACCCAAATTCCTTCCCCTTCATTCTCCTCTTAGGATTTTGGACATGCACACACACACGCCCAGCATATTTTTCAGGCCACTGGGTCCAGGACTCGATCCACATAGTTAACCATGTGGGATCCAGTGCTTTAACTGCCATGCCACTCGATGACCCTAATATTAACACTTACTAAACAAAACTGTTGGTACATCTGCCCAAGATCCAGGATATAGAAGTATAATAGCAAGTGTTTGAATGAAGTAAGATACATATACAGTGAAATGTATATATTTGAATTGTATTTTTTTTTTGGGGGGGGGTTCCTATAGGGAACCAAAGAGACAGAAAGTGAGAAATCACCCCCAGGGGGGATGGTCTTACTCCAATCCCTTCTGTTCTAGTATCCTCTCTGGATTTTGGACACCCACACACGCAAACACACACACACACACCTGGTGTGAGTTTCAAGTTGCTGGGTCCAGGACTCAAACTGCAGTTGGTCACGTAGGAGTCCAGTTCCTTAACCACTGTGCCACCTGCTGGCCCCTGACCTGTATTTTTAAATATATTTCAAAAATGTATAAGCCCATGTAACTAATACCCTAACCAAGACACAGAAGATATTCATCAACCCTAAAAGTTACCTTGTGCTCCTTTCCAAATAAGCTTAGGCTCCCCTTCCCAGCCCTGGCCTTGGCAAATATTGACTGATCTCTAGCATCGTGATGAACTTTCTCTGTTCTGGTACATCACATAAATGGGTTCATATCATAAGTATTCTTTTGGGTCTAATTTTTTTTTTTCACTCAGCATTAATACTTCTGAGATTCATCTAGGTCAACATGCATAAGTAGTTCGTTTTTTTTTCTGAGTAGTGTATCAGTGTATGAATATACCATAATGATTTATTTATCCATTCAGTTGTTGATGGACTCCTGGGTTGCTTCCATTGTTGGGCTATTAGGAATAAAGCTGCTATGAACTTTTTTGTGTGAGATCTTTGGTGTACATATTTAATCTCTCTTGTGTAAATGCTGAGGAATGGAATTATTGAGTCATCAAGTAGATGTATGTTTAATGGTTTTAAAAAGTAAACTATCTTTCCAAAGTAGTTATACCATGTTATAATCTCACAGCAATGAATAAAAGTCCCAGTTGTTCCACATTCTTGATGATACTTGGCCTTGGCAATCTTTTCAAGTTATCCTAAAAAAATTATGAAGCTGAGTATGTGTTCATGTAGTCTATTTTGGCCGTTTGTCTAACTTATTTTGTTTAATAAAGTCTTTGCCTAGTTTAAAACTGATTTGTCTCTTTAAAAAATCAATTTGTAGGAGCTTATTTTTAGTTCCAAAATCAGATGGACAGATCTCAGCCCCAGCTGCTTCCCCATGGGCCTCCACTGCCCTAAGACAGGTCAGAGATGGAGGTGCCCAGGGTGCAGCTGATCTGCACAGGACTGGGCAGCTCAGGCTCCAGGAGATGACTGCTGCCAGCTCTGAGCTGGGCATCGCGCTCTAAGTCCAACCCACAGGGCCTGCTTTGGTAACACAGACCCAGTGACTTCAGGGTCACAGTGAGTGCATGTGAGTGCCTGCCCAGGACCCCGAAAAGAAAATGGAGGAGAAGGGATTGTGGCATGACCATTTCTTCCAGGGGGTGATTTCTCACTCCCTTGCCATCCCTCCTGCCTCCCCATCTCTCTTTAGTGAGTGCATATGCCCTATAGCAAAACTAAAACTAATAATAAATACAATAATTTTCTTCCCTCATTAATTTCTTTGACATTCTGGTCAGAAATTACTTTACCGCATGTTAGTAGGTTTATTTCTGGACTCTATCTTGCTATTTGTTTATCCTTTTGCAAGTACCACATTGTATTGATAACTATAGCTCTATAATAAATTTCTGAGTTAGGAAGAGTTTGTCCTCTAAACTTGTTCTCTTTTACTACATGGCTTTGAGTATTGTAAGTTGTTGGCTGTTTTTTCACCATTTCGATAAATATTTTTTGGGTCAGGACTCAATTTCTATTAGCTTATTGAGATTTTGATTTGCTTGCATCATATTAAATCATATACATTTGGGAAGAATTGACATCTTAACAATATTTAACTTTTTTTTTTTTTTTTTTTTTTTTTTTTTTCTTAGGGGGCT